GTTGCGGGGCTAATGCTTTGATAGTAGCGAGAGGAAGTTTTAGGAAAACCAATGTCTTCAACAACAAAATTTTATTTACAACAATAATAACAATAATGTAAGTGCGGACGCGAAAAGGGTAACTGCTGACTGATCTGCCGATGGCAACTGCTAACTGATAACTGATGGTAACTGCACTCTCCGGGCCGATCCTGGTTCCTTTTATCCCCGAGTCCAGTAGCATCCCCGGTGAAAGTTCTCTTCAAGTCCTTGCCTGGACCAAAAGGATCTGCTGTTCAGATGTACGGAGAGAGTTCTTCTGAATAGTTTCGAACGCTTTCTGGCGTCCAGATGTTCGCCACGGAGAGCGTCCAGTAACATCTCCGGTGAAAGCTTTCCGGGAACCCTTTGCCTGGACCAAAAGGGTGTCCTGCCCAGATGACCGGAGAGAGATTTTTTTGAACGGTTTAGAAAGTTCTCTGGCGTCCAGATGTTCGCCACACCGGTATATTGAAATTTGGGTATATACCCAAAGATGCACCCGGTATGTACCTAATGGGTAAATACTGGGTATATTGCAATTTGGGTACATACCATGTACCCGGTATATACTCAAGTAAACTTACTTTGTTAATTTAATGTGGGTGTCTGAGTCGGTATCTGACAATGAGTCTGATTCCATGTCCATAAGACTCGTCACAACATCATTACCTTCATTTCTCGTCGTTCACCTTCGTTAGTTGTACTGCAACTACTGCAAGTAGAAGCGGAACTTTCAAACTCTTGGTCAACAATATCAGGAGTTAAAGTTGAAGGAAGTTGTGCAGAATATGAAGTACTTGGTTTTAGTTGTTGTTCCGATTTATTGGACTCGAAATTGATTTTCCAATTGTGAGATGTACTTAATCTTTTCAGCTCTCTCCGTTGTCAATCTGTTTCTTCTTTTATGATGAATGAACGAAAAAGTTTTAAATGATCTTTCAGTTTCTGCTGACGAAACTGGAGCAGTTAGAAATCTTATTGCAACTTTTGATTGAACTTTTGATCTTATTGCAAAGGATGTTTTTAAACCATACTTTGTGTTTTGAGCGGTAATGTGCTAAATTCGTCATAACATTATCCAGAGAATCAACGGTCATATCCACGGATACTTTATATATAAAATTTTGAACACTGATTTAATGAATCTAGTAATGCAGCTGCAAAATGGAGTGGCTTTAAAGCACGCTGTTTTCTCTTATCAAATGAGAAAAAACGAAAATATTAACTATCTCATTTTCATTCATATTCATGCCACTTTCGGAAAGATTTTCTCTTAAAGTTACTGCAACATCTAACATATATTCATAAACCTTGTGAACAATACAGTCTTGAGTTTGAAATTTTTCTAAACATTCCACAATTGGTTTCAGTATTCGAATAATCGTATCAATTTTAGGCCAAAATGTTAGATCATCTAATAAGTTTCTTTTCATATCTGCTGGTAGCACTTCAGATGATTCTTCTTTTACAGTCAGATGCTGAAGAGACATTTCTGATTTTTTAAAAGACTCGAGACAGGCCAGAGAATTACCCCAACGTGTTACACCAGGCAATTTTAACGAAATATTCAGTTTCCTGTCTTTATTAATTTGTATGAATAAACCATTCAAAATATGCACGTTTTTGATCTTTTTTGCAATTGCAGTTAAATTATCCATAAATTCCCGAATAGAGTTAGATTTTGGTATATCCCGACAAAGTAAATGAAAAGTGTGAGCTAGATATCCTAAAGGAATTATATGAGTGTATTTTCCTTGGATATGTTTAAAAGATTTTTGCATATTTGCATCGTTGTCCCCTATCACACAGAAAAATTTTTCAGGTCCATATTTTTCAATCACCTCGCTTAATTTTTTAGACAAATATTCTGCGGTGTGCCGGTGTGCCTTAGTATTTATAAAATCCACAAAAATAGGTTCTGGTTTTGTTACTATGACGTTGATGATAGCTTCATTCCTAATATTGCTCCACCCATCACATTGAGAAACGTGCAGCTAAACCCGAATGATTGTAGTTCTAGGTCTTGTATTAGTTCTAGTGATAGTGCCAGTGTAAATCTGGAATTAGGTCTAGACCTAGGACTAAAAAGTATCGGGTTGTTTAATCCGAATATTTCTAGATTTAGTGTTAGTTTTAGTTTTAGTGTAATAAAAATATACAACATAGTAATATCTTATGCTAACTAGCGCCTATAAGTGGTCAAAAGATATTTACGTACCAGATTACTGTACTTTACAACGATTTGCCTGATGACCTAAAGAAGTTATCTCTCAGAGCTTTTAAGTCTACCCTTGTTAACTTTCTAATGAGAGATCAATAGTTTTTTTTCTCTTTTTTTATTCTTTTATTTTTTATTTCTGCCATCTTCTAGAATCATTTCACTATTTCACCTTTTTATTTGTTTAATTCTCCTGTAATCTATTTTTCTTCTTGTACAATGCATAGTTCTCTAACTCATTTCTTCCTGTTTTTTCACCTTTATAATCCCTCTCAAAATCCCCTTACTACGAGGTTCGCTACGTTTTTTGTCTTCGAATATCAGTCCTACCTTCAGTTCCAACTCATTTCTCTGTCTCTAAAATCTAACACAGATCGTGTGCTAGTTAGTGTTCCTCTCCCCGCAATCTAACCAGCACAAATCTAATTCTAGTTTTTGAAATTATTTCAGATACAACGTGAATACTCCATGTCTGGTAATTGGCTGGGTGGTGTAATACTCCGTTTAGGTTCTCGCCATCTTACATACATTATGTCTCTATTTTTTCCTTTTTCCTAGAGTCTACTTCTCTAATTTTCATTTCTTTCTTGCGCTAGCAGATTCGGTATGCAGATTTCACGTTTATGCCTTATTTTCTTCCAACCCATCTCAACATATTAGCATATTTTTTGTATTGATCTTATGCTGGTAGCCAAGACGTTACGTCGTGCTTGGCTGGGTCGTTCTTTCTTAGGGATTAATTTAGCTAAGCTGTCTTATCCTTCTTATGTGTTTGGTCATTCGAAGGTCTTTGTCCAGGACCACCCCCAAGTATTTAAGCAATGGAGAGCTTTTTAACTTTTGTTATCCCATCTATGTCCTTCAATGGTGGGAAGAAGAAATTCCTTTCAGGATAATCCTTTCCGTCTTTTTTATGGCCAGCCGCAAACCCATTTCTGCCATCCTTTCCGAGATTTTCTTTGGGCAGTACTAATTAGGTTCACATAAAATTTGCTTTAGTTATTACTTCCTCTACGTGTTCTGTCATGGTCATGTCTTTGAAGAAACACTCCTAAATACTTAACTTTTCTATAGCTATGAATTACAGTATCGTTAGTTCTAGTCCTAGTGTTATTGTCATTTTATATGGGTCAAAGCAAATAGGTACGCCCTGGTTTTTATGGAAATATATTATGTATTTGCATCTTAAGTGAAATTCACTATATGTAATGTTAATATTGATGGAGTAAATGTATATTTGATCCATCTTAATGGATGTCCATAGATATCCTCTTAGATATCTCTAATCGGAGCATGGTGGTTTCAATATACATTTGTGTGTCCACATCTATTATGAGTACACTTAGCCGCAACGTCAGAACGCTTGAGTTGACATCGATGCTGCATCGGACATGTTCTAGCACGCACATAAGGGATTCATAACGCGAATACCGGTTGACATAAATACCCAAGTAATTTGGGGGAATATCTACGTGAATATGACAGATGTGTATGGAGTGGTTGTAAATTAATCTATTTACTAGATTCGTTGTTGGCAAACAATTCTAAATTGAATTTGAAATAAAAAAATATATACTTTTTGATTTATACAAATCAAATTTGTTTTGTTCATGTTGACGGTAGATAGCGTTTAGATTCAGCGCATGCGTTGTTTGGTGGAAATGTGGGGATGAAATGGAGCAAGATCCAGTCCGCGGGAAATCGCGTCCCGTTTCAGGACCTCCCTGAAAATGAACGGGATGTTTTCGGACGTGATTCGCGTGTTTATTATAAGTGAAACGTTAAAATAATAAATTATTAAGGAGTTTTTGTATCGAACAATTTTTTTAAGCGAAATATTTTTTGTAACAAAAAACTTTTTAATAAAAGTGAAAAGTGCAACACAAAATAGTAATAATAATAATAAACTGGATAATATTTAATAATTAATTGTCAATTTGTAAGTATAAGAAATTTGGAGTGTCCAAAAAAAAATCTTTAATAGCCCTTTGTTCGGACGAAAACTCTTCTCAAACCCGACGTGGAATTCTTTTGAGCATCGCAACTTTTCCAATCTATCAACGTTCCAAGTCTTTGAATGTACTTTTTCGATTTCTTTCAACGGTTAACTAGTACACATTTGAAAAGGATCACTTTGAGGTTGCTTTTGACGTTTATTAAATTCGAACGATTTAATTATTGTTTAAGTATTTTGAGTTTAAAACGAAACTTACATTGTGAAATTCATCTCAAATTCAATATTCGAGAAATTACCGTCTTTTTGTGGAATAAATTAAAAACGTCTGGTATAAAAGGCGGGAGAGATTATAATCCCGACGAATGGTAATAACAGAGGAGTTTGTGGTAGTAATAACTCAGGTTAAGCTAAGAAAAACACAATTACATGCCTCTAAAAGTTCCACCATTCACGTCGTTCAACTGCATCGTAAATCTGAAAAAAATTGAACTTAAAAACTGTAACTGAACTGAACTGAGAGATCCCCATAAAACGTCTCTAGTAGATATGAAAGAGATGGAGAGTTCATTATGCTTCCTATTTAATAGGGTTAGCGCAGAAAGATTTATTTAATTTTTTAATCAGTCTTTTCAGGAATATTTTATGTTCTAAATGAAAGAAATTTTAATTAGACTCTTTAAAAATTAAAAAATCTTTACATCAAAATCATAATATCTCATAGATACATAAAACACTTGTTGCATAATTGCATACATAAAAGAAATTAAGATTAAGTAACTTGTTTTTTTATAAATCTCAGTTGACATGATTTTGACTTTTCTCCTAACAACACTTTATTTCGTTGAATCAACAGTGGGTAAATCAAAAAATGATTCTGCGAGAATTGCAAAGACTCGAATTGTGGGTGGATTTAATTGCATATCAGAAGCGTATCCATATTTGGTGACGTTATACGTTGATAAAACGGTGTGGTGCCAAGGTTCTTTATTAAGCAGTAAGATAGTTTTAACCTCAGCTCATTGTTGCGCGAAAGATGATATATCAATAGAAGCGGGGAGTACGTTTGCAAGAAGTAAAATGGTTCAAACATCTCGTGTTTTAAACTCGATCAAACATCCGAATTATACAAGAAAAGGAGGTGTTCGACACGATGTTTGCGTGATTCATTTAGCGAGTCCAATTCGCGAAAACGAAGCCGTTAGTTATTTAAAATTGGCTAATACTATTATTTACGAGAAAATGATGAAAGAAGGGAAATGTAATTTAAGTTTGGTGTTGGGGTTTGGTTACCAAGGTATTAAATACATGGATGGTCGCTCTGCGAAAGTAAACGTTCCTTACAATAAGCAACTGCAGTGTTTGTACGTGACACCGATATCCGACCTGGAATGCGGTTTCTTTTATTCCAAAGGAATCAACATGCTCTGTGCGAAGGATGCCAGAAATACGATGCAAGGAGACGCTTGTCACGGGGACAGCGGAGGCCCCGTTGTCTGCAAAAACATACAAATTGGAATCGTTACGGCTGGTTGGGGATGCGGAATTGGGGCCCCATCTTTGTATACAAGAGTTGACAGATACTTACAGTTTATATACGAGATCTCTATGCGATTGCATGGTTCGATTAAAAATTGCGATCTAATTTTGTTGATTTTGTGTTATTTTATATATACAATTTTAAATTGACACCAATAAAACGTTTTGATCATATTAATACAGCTTCATTGATAAATTCGGGTTATTTCCCGAATTGTTTATATCATATATAAATGAAGAATGGTAGTTCTAATTTTAGTTGCTATCCAGGGTTAGATTGTTGTATACTTTTCATGGAACTAAAACTAGAAGTAACACTAGACCTAAAACAAGAAACATTCAGGTTTAGCCGTCTTAAGAGACGTGCGGCTAAACCCGAATATTTCTAGTTCTAGGTTTAGTGTTCTAGTTTTAGTTGATATCCAAGGTTAGATTGTTGTATACTTTGCATTGAGCTAAAACTAGAACGAACACTAGACTTAGAATTAGAAAGTTTCGGGTTTAGCCGTGCGTCTCTTAAGATGGCTAAACCCGAATGTTTATAGTTTCTAGGTCTTTTAGTTGTTATTCAGCGCTAGATTGTTGTATACTTTTATTGAATTAAAAGTAGACGTAGAACTAGAAACATTCGGGTTTAGCCGTCTTAAGAGACGTGCGATATTTTGAGGATTTTTATTTAAATATCTAGAAGCTGATTATTGTAGAATCGAACTTGCTTAGAAATAATGATTTTTGGAATCGTTATGATCAATTTTCATGGACAACATTTCCTTCCATAAGTTTTAGCTTTTGAATTACAATCGATTTTTGAAATAAAAACCGTATATTTTATTTTTTTGGCGATTAACGATCAATATCTATGAAGTAATCGTAGTAGGATTGAATCTGATTATGAATGATAATTTTTGGAATCGTTATGATCAATTTTTATAAATAACGTTTCATTCCATAACTTTTAGCTTTTGAAATACAATCGACTTTTATAATAAAAACGTCACATTTTAAGATGTTGCGATTTATGCTCAATATCTAGTATCTGATCTTAACAGAATAAATTTATGAATGATAACTTCTGGAATCGTTATGATCAACTTTTATGGATGACGTTTTATTCCATTGGTTTCAAGTTGTAAGTTGGCATGAATTTTAATGATAAAGTTAGTAAATTTTGACACTTTGAGGATTCTTGTTTAAATATCTAAAAGCTGATTATTGCAAGATTAAATCTGAATATAAATAATGATTTTTGGAAGTGTTATGATCAATTTTCATGGACAACATTTCCTTCCATGAGTTTCCGCTTTTGAGTCACAAATGATTTTTCCAATAAAAACGGTATATTTTAAGTTTTTGGCGATTTATGATCAATATCTATGAAGTGATCGTAGTACGATTGATTTTGACTATGAATAATGATTTTTGGAATCGTTATGATCAATTTTTATAGATATAGTTTCATTCCATAACTTTTAGCTTTTGAGTTACAATCCATTTTTGCAATAAAAACGCTATATTTTAAGTTTTTGTTGATTTATGATCAATATCTATGAAGTGATCTTAGCAGGATTGAATCTGATTATGAATAATGATGTTTGGAATCCTTATGATCAATTTTTATAGATAAAGCTTCATTCCATAACTTTTAGCTTTTGAGTTACAATCGATTTTTACAACAAAAACGGTATGTTTTAAGTTTTTGACGAATTATGCTCAATATCTAGTAACTGATCTTAACGGATAGAATTTGATTATGAATGATAATTTTTGCAATCGTTGTGATCAACTTTTATAGAAGGCGTTTTATTCCATTAGTTTCAAGTTATAAGTTGACATGAATTTTACTGATAAAGTTAGTAAATTTTGACACTTAGGATTCTTGTTTAAATATCTAAAAGCTGATTATTGCAAGATTGAACCTGAGTATAAATAATAATTTTTGGAAGTGTTATGATCAATTTTCATGGACAACATTTTCTTCCATGAGTTTTAGCTTTTGAGTTACAATCGATTTTTGCAATAAAAACGCTATATTTTAAGTTTTTGTTGATTTATGATCAATATCTATGAAGTGATCTTAGCAGGATTGTATCTGATTATGAATAATGATGTTTGGAATTGTTATGATCAATTTTTATAGATAAAGTTTCATTCCATAACTTTTAGCTTTTGAGATACAATCGACTTTTATAATAAAAACGTCACATTTTAAGATTTGGCGATTTATGCTCATTATCTAGTAACTGATCTTGACAGAATAGAATTTGATTATGAATAATAACTGTTGGAATCGTTATGAACAACTTTTATGCATGACGTTTTATTCCATTGGTTTCAAGTTGTAAGTTGGCATGAATTTTAGTGATAAAGTAAGTAAATTTGGACACTTTGAGGATTCTTGTTTAAATATCTAAAAGCTGATTATTGCAAAATTGAACCAGATTATAAATAAAGATTTTTGTAAGTGTTATGATCAATTTTTATGGACAACATTTTCTTCCATGAGTTTCAGCTTTTGAGTCACAAACGATGTTTGCAATAAAAACGGTATATTTTAAGCTTTTGGCGATTAATGATCAATATCTATGAAGTGATCATAGTAGGATTGATTCTGATTATGAATAATGATTTTTGGAATCGTTGTGATCAATTTTTATAGATAAAGTTTCATTCCATAACTTTTAGCTTTTGAGATACAATCGATTTTTGCAATAAAAACGGTATACTTTAAGTTTTTGGCGATTAATAATCAATATCTATGAAGTAATCGTAGTAGGATTGAATCTGATTATGAATAATAATTTTTGGAATCGTTATGATCAACTTTTATAAATAACGTTTCATTCTATAACTTTTAGCTTTTGAGATACAATCGATTCTCATAATAAAAACGTCACATTTTAAGACTTGACGATTTATGCGCAATATCTAGTAACTGATCTTAACAGAATAGAATTTGATTATGAATAATAACTGTTGGAATCGTTATGAACAACTTTTATGGATGACGTTTTATTCCATTGGTTTCAAGTTGTAAGTTGGCATGAATTTTAATGATAAAGTTAGTAAATTTTGACACTTTGAGCATTCTTGTTTAAATATCTAAAAGCTGATTATTGCAAAATTGAATCTGAGTATAAATAATGATTTTTGGAAGTGTTATGATCAATTTTCATGCACAACATTTCCTTCCATGAGTTTCAGCTTTTGAGTCACAAATGATTTTTGCAATAAAAACGGTATATTTTAAGTTTTTGGCGATTTATGATCAATATCTATGAAGTGATCGTAGTACAATTGATTCTGATTATGAATAATGATTTTTGGAATCGTTATGATCAATTTTTATAGATAAAGATTCATTCCATAGCTTTTAGCTTTTGAGTTACAATCGATTTTTGCAATAAAAACGCTATATTTTAAGTTTTTGTTGATTTATGATCAATATCTATGAAGTGATCTTAGCAGGATTGAATCTGATTATGAATAATGATGTTTGGAATTGTTATGATCAATTTTTATAGAAAAGTTTCATTCCATAACTTTTAGCTTTTGAGATATAATCGATTTTCATAATAAAAACGTCACATTTTAGGACTTGACGATAGTTGCGCAATATCTAGTAACTGATCTTAACAGAATAGAATTTGATTAGGAATAATAACTGTTGGAATCGTTATGAACAACTTTTATGGATGACGTTTTATTCCATTAGTTTCAAGTTGTAAGTTGGCATGAATTTTAATGATAAAGTTAGTTGTAAATTGCGATTTGGACCATTTCGTCTTATTCTGAGTAACCTAATTTTACAAAATCTAGAAATTAAACTAAAACCTTTGATATCATCGTGGAATCTTCATTAATCAAGCTTTATTTTAAGATATCATTCATCAAAATANCGTTATGAACAACCTTTATGGATGACGTTTTATTCCATTGGTTTCAAGTTGTAAGTTGGCATGAATTTTAGTGATAAAGTTAGTAAATGTTGACACTTTGAGGATTCTTGTTTAAATATCTAGAAGCTGATTATTGCAAAATTGAATCTGATTATAAATAATGATAATTGGAATCGTTATGATGAATTTTCATGGACAACATTTCCTTCCATGAGCTTTAGCTTTTGAATTACAATCGATTTTTGTAATAAAAACTATATTTTAAAATTTTGGTTATTTATGGTCAATATCAATGAAGTGATCTTAGCAGGATTGAATCTGATTATAAATCATGACGCTTGGAATTGTTATGATCAATTTTTATAGATAAAGTTTCATTCTATAACTTTTAGCTTTTGAGATACAATCGATTTTCATAATAAAAACGTCACATTTTAAGATTTGACAATTTATGCTCAATATCTAGTATCTGATCTTAACAAAATAACATTTGATTATGAATAATACTTTTTCCAATCTTTATGACCAACTTTTATGGATGACGTTTTATTCCATCGGTTTCAGGTTGTAAGTTGGAATGAATTTTAATGATAAAGTTATGATGATGATCGTTATTAATTGATCGAAACCGGTACCAAGTACATACATTTAATATGAAACAAACAGAGGCTTTAAGAGTTTCATATTAATTTCCCAAACATTATTAAAATTATATAATGAACGAACAAGCCCTTCCTCGTATTAATCCGTTATATGGAGGTTTTACTGTATTACCATTAACGTTTTATGCATTTAATTCAATATGGTGCGTTCCAAATAATATTAATTCCTACGCTTTGACATATTCGCAACTCAAATCAACCCTGAAATAAATTACGTCGAAAAATTAATTACGATTCCATACATTTTATATTGAACGAACTAAAGTATTCAATTTATTCATTATAATGACTAACTGAAAGGCAATTTTGCTATTTGTCTCCGATCAAATTTTGAATTTACCTAAAAATCCCTAAAACTCGATTCGTTTGGTTTTATAATCGAACTAGTGCATAAATTGGGAACTGGCGTATTCATTGTTCCGATTTGTTTCCAACGGGATATCGATTCGACTTTTGTTCAATATG